CTGATGATCTGTGAGCAGAGCCTCCATCTCCATAAACAAAAACAGATATTCATAATAAAAAGAAACAAATCAAAGCCATTTAAGCTAAAAACAATCAATTCACTTTTATTGTGGGAGTTTCATTTAAAAATTGTCAAAAAATGTGAGAAACAAAATAGAGAAAACAATATTATGGATAGGGGATATAAGTAAAAAATGTCTTGATGGATTTGTTTAACAACACACAGCTTTTCACTTCACAAGTTGCTAAATGGTGGACGAGTCGTGTGGATTACATGTGGATTATTGTGATGCTTTTATCATCTGTTCGGACTCTCATTTTGATGGCACCCATTCACTGCAGAGGATACATTGGTGAGAATGAGATGCAATGCTTAATTTCTCCAAATCTGTTCTGATAGAGAAATAAACTCAACAAAGCAAAGCCCTTGGATAGCCTTAGGGTGAGTAAATCACATCATTGGAGAAGCACTAATTAAACGGCACTGTTTTGGTCAATGATTCCGTCCGTCAAAAAAAAATGTCTACATTTTTTATAAAATATTATTCACTATAAATGACCATTAATCAATGCAAAACCTGATCAGGATTCTACTTTTTAATCGACAAAGCTGCTGTGAAACTGGACATGCAAAAACAATGATAATATATTTTTTGTATATAACATGTAACTATTCTAGTTCAAATCATTAAAAATAGCCTGAAGAGGAAAATTTTCCATTATGTCAGGGCTGACAGTGTGTATGTATGGCAACATTTACAGGCACTGTTTGATGGATATCTGTGTTGACACAAACTCTGATTTGGTCTCACCTGGAGGACTGCTGATGATTGACTTTTTGACTACATCACTGCTGGCAATGCTGGCATGTTGGTACCTCTTGGATCTCTCTTCCAGAAACCATTCTCCTGTAACCACCTTCAGCTCCCTAAATCAGCCAGTCACACACAGACAACACCGTGTAAGCACCAATTATATAAGTGCCAATCACAGCCTAATTGGTTCACCTATTAAAGAGCCTATGAACTGTTGACACAGTTTCTATTGAAACAAAAAGCTGGGGCAGAATATGGACTAAAACCCAAAAAACTAAATTTCATGGTGTCTACTATCTATTCACCATTACAGACCAGAGTGTGTATGGATGTTGTGTGTGACTCACGCAGTCTTCGCACACACGGTGCATTTGCAGTTGCTGTCTGGAGGCGTAGCAGTGCAGAAGTTGCAGATGCGCCGATGACAGTTGGTGCACACATTACCCCTCTGCAGGATGAGACCCAGAGCACGCAGACATACAGCACACTCACGCTGATCCGCTGAACTACGCCGCCCGGCTCGCTTCAGTTCCAGAAGCTCATTTTTCAGTTTCCTGTAGAGGCACAACTGGCATCACTGTTGGGGAGTAACTAAATGTATTCACCCTATAAATTAACTACAGTAGGTCTGCTGCTTTGAACACAGTTCATCTATTTCAAAAAGACATTTTCAATGCCACATGGCGATTTTTATGTTACTTTCACTGACATACAGTATGTAGTCCTGGAAAGTGATTCATTCTAGTGAATTGGTTCATTCGGATGCTCCTTGTAAATTTACAGATTCTAAAAGAAGAGTCATGGATTTGAGTCACTACATTTTAACCTGAATATTTAGTTCATTATGTGTTCAAATCAGTTATTTAAATTACTTATGGTAGTCTTCAAGTTTTTTGTGTTGTTGTTGTATTTACTATAATTTATTTTTGATGCACCCAAATTGGAATTGTTCATTCATTCATAAACCCAATTTTTTTGTGCAATTCAATTATAAATTATTCAATGCATTTAGCTACTTTTCTTGCACAGTAGCTAACTACTTTTGCAAAAGAGTGTGTTTATATGTGTATATAAATAAAATGTGTATATATTTAAAGAAAATAACTGCTTGTGATGAAATGATGTGCGTTGAAGACGCTACCTGATGCGTTTCTCCTCTCGTTTGCGGAGTTTCTCGTCTTTCTGGAGAACACTCAGGATCATCTGCCTTTCGTGCTCCAGGAGGAAGGACAGATTAAGGGAATCGGTTGTCTTTGCCATGACCATTTAAAGAACTGCTCACAGAGCTCCAGGAAGACTCAGCCAATCAAACTGGCCACAAACCACTAACAATTACGCTTCATGAATGCAGCTGGAATCCTCAGTCAGAATGAAGGATTGCTTCAGTTCATCTTCACATCCCCATAAAGGTCATCTGCCCGGACCTTCAGACAATAACATTCATCTCTTGACAATTGTGGCAGGTCTTGTGATCCTATTGGTCAGTGCATTGTTAACCTTTTCACCTGCTGAATGCCTGCAAGCATAACATCCATATAAAAACCATCAGTGATCAATCAGGGTATTTTAGGTCTCATACTTATTGTATAACTAACTACTGAATCATGATTTACCTTATAACCTAGTTGAAGTCAAAAGTGTTTAATAAATGTTAAGAAATAAAACAAGATGCTCCCAGTAGAATTTTTTTTTTTCTATTGAAACCAAAGGGTCAGAGAGATATGGTCGAAAATGATAATGAAAAACCTATTATTACTCCCTGGTACTTCGGTTCCAAGTCGGTACTAAAAAAATGAAAATGTTGCAGTACCAGTTTTTTTTTTTTAAGTAAAGTACCCCGAGTACCCGGTCAACCTGGTTCTTGATGCACTATCCGAAAGGTGCGCAGATGCGTTCTCTTCATAAAAGCACGGAGACGTGGCGACATCAAAACGAGAAAACACACCAAACTAACAAAACACTTTAAAGACAGACACCCAGATCAAATGAAAGAGTTCAATCAGGTAAGTTTCATTTTAATTTTTAATATTTAGATCAGTGTTTCCCATACATTGATTTATTTGTGGTGGCCTGCCACAATGTCAAAACTGACCGCCACAAATAGATTTTCCAAAAGGCTTTGACTTCGTTGAATAAACATAGGGCCGGCCCTAGCATTTTAGGGACCCCAAGCAGATTTTCAAAAGAGGTCACACACAGTGCCTAACGTGATTTAGGCAAAAAAAAAACAAAAAAAAAACAACAATAACGTTACCTATTTAATGCATCCTTGCTGAATAAAAGTATTAATTTCTTTAAAAAAATCTTGCCGACTTCAAACCTTTGAACAGCAGTGTACTTTAAATTAATAGTTTTGTCATCATTTACTCACCCTCATGTTGTTACAAACCTTCATTGCTTTCCTTCATCCATAGAACACAAAAGGAGATATTTAGATAAATGGTCACACTGTTCTTTTTCAATGAAAGTGATAAACTTAATAGCATCTGCCTCCATCTTTTGTGACCAGTCATAAGGATTTGAAATAACAGGAGGGTGAGAAAATGCTCTTCTATTCAAATTCAAATTGTCATGTGAAAACTAAATCCTTAAATAGCAATAAAATAGCCTAATCCATTCCACACCGCCATATACCTGGACTAATTAAAGAGACACAACAACACCAATTTCAACAACACCCACAGCACTGTTAATTCAGTGGTACCCCAGGCTCTAGTGAATATTAAGACACCAGACAGGAATAATGCTGCCTTCAGGTCCTCCTGGGAAATTCCTATTTACTAGCTCAGAAGTCATCATTACGATGTGATGTGAGTTCAAATGATTTTGGCTGGGAAAAAACTTACTGACAAAACACAGGAAGCTTTTCCGCCCTATGCAACCTAATAAAGAACACTGGATGCACATTAGATTTGAAATTGGTTCTTTATCTGTGCATTTTATCTTTCTAATGCTGAAATGTATAGTTGCACAAGCCTGTCACTTCATGAATGGCTAAACGAGTAGCATTTGCTGACAAGCCTTATTTGTATTTTTCATCAACAGTACTGGACACATGAAAGTTAGTTTTCAGCACGTTTTAATCGTGACGACTCACAATCCTGATTTTTCCCTCATGTTAAATAAGACACTGTTATGCCATTCATGTGTAAATACGATCATCCCAACAAGACCTGAAAGCAACATTAAAGATGACAAACATGCTGCAAGAACCATGGGAAATGTAGTTCAGTGCATAAATCTCAAGAGAGCAAGTCAACAAGCTGCCAGTCCAGCTCACAGCTCAGTAATTACTCCTCTAATGATGGAGACACATTCACCAACAACACCTGGCTTAATGGAGATTAGACTCATACATGTTTTATGCCTATCAGAGAGGCTGTATTAGCATAATAAAAAGGGACAAAAAACTATGAAATGCAGATTAGCAACTAGCAAGACAAAACTGGATATTGGGTAGTAGTAAGTATATAGTGGTTGACCGATAAGAGATTTTTAGTATTCAACACCAAATATCAAAATCTAGACAGCAGGGTGGTAAACAGTCAATATAATGCAAATGTACATGTTTATTATAATGTCAGAAATTACATTATATTACACAAACTAACACAAAGAGGAACAACTTTTTAATCACAAAATGACCAGTCTATTTCAAAGTAATCATGGCAAATATATGGTTCACTTAGTTTAACATGGATGTAAAGGGGTAGATATAAATGAAATGATGTTGCTACAGTCCCTCCACACACATTCAGACCAATTATGAGTATAACATGGACTAACGACATGCAATGTAATGTACTGTTGTCCTTCTCTCCAGCTGTGCCCTTTTGAATCTTTAATGCATGCATCTTATTTAAACACACATACACACTAATCAATATGAAATGTCAATTATGGAGAGTATGATTGTGAGTGTTAAAAGGACATCAGTAGAATGATCTGTGCAGTTAATCATATGGTAGAGCACTTTATGTGTACTGTCTGAACATGACAGATTTGGGTCCCTCTATCTGTGATGCCGATTAAACTTTTCAACCCACATTCTCTTTTTTCAGGACCAGTGCACATTAAAATTACAAAAAGGCCTTAAAATTTTGATGGGCTTGCTTTCAGTCTTTTTAATGAAATTGATTTAGTTCTTATGGTCCAGCTGCCACTAATGTTTCCTGTCTGTATTGTTAATAGTCAATGTTTCTCTTTCCTATATAGGGAAGATATAATACATTTTATGTGTGTATCAGTATCAGTCACTCTGTTACAAATATTATGGACACTCAGTGATTTTATGGGGGTAAAATTCAACATCAAATACACAAACTGTGTTCACAGGGTTAATATTGTTTTATGTTTGTTTTTTATTTTATTTTGTGGTTTAAATACTTATATTATTCATATCTGCATTATTTTACTGATATTAAAACTCCATGTATTAATGTATTATACAAATGTAAAATTAAAACGTCTCCAGTTACAGACAAAAAAATCGCAACAATGTCAAAAACTCTATGGTTAGCCAGGACAGAAATTTCAATATAAACTTAT